TAAGCTAGATCATTATTACACAGAAGAAACAATAATTTCTATGTGTAAGAATAATTATATAGAGAAAGCAACACTATTTTTAGACCCAAATAAGTTCCAAATCCTCCCATCGGACCCAACAAATCTGTATCAGAAACAAATAAAAGATTGTATTAATAACAATAGCTTATTTATACATTCTAACAAATTAAATCTAATCAATATGAACCCAACAGTTCCAAAATTAAATTCGTTAGTTAAACTTCATAAAGAAGATATGCCAATCAGACCAGTAGTATCCTTTATGTCAACACCGTCATACAAAGTATATAAAAGACTAATTAACATAATTAATTACCACTGTAGATTTTCGGCCAAGTATAGAATCAAAAATTCTTATCAATTAATAGAGAATATCAAATCCATAGAATTACCAGAAAAGTCGAAATTAATTTCATTTGATGTCCAAAATTTGTTTCCAAGTATACCAAAAATAGAGACAATAGATCTCACAGAAGAAATGTTAACCCTCAATAAAATAAATCCTATCATAAAACAAGAACCCTTACAATATGTCTAGACCAAAACTACTTTGAATTCGATAACAGAATATTTAGTTCAAAAGAAGGTCTAATTATGGGAAATCCCCTAAGCCCTATGCTAGCCGAAATTTTTATGGACTATTTAGAATCCATTATACATCAACACCCTCTTGCCAAACAGTTTTTATTTTGGTATAGATATGTCGATGATGTTATGGCTTCTTTTGTAGGAATAGAAAGGCAATTACATAGTTTTCTGAATTATATAAATTCCTTGCATAAAATAAAATTTACCATGGAATTAGAAAATAATAATTCAATTAACTTCCTTGATTTAAAACTAACACAAAGAAAGAAACATATAAATTTCTCCATTTATCATAAACCTCACATGCAGACACAGTAATTCACAATAGTTCTAACCATCCATACCAATACAAAATTGCCGCTTTTAATTGCTATTTACATAGATTACGTCAGGTTCCTCTCAATCAAGAAGATTACGACAAGAAATTAAATATAATTAAACAAATTGCATTGAACAATGGTTACAAACCCAATTTACTTGACTCACTATTAAAAAAGAAACTATATAACAAGGCTATGAATCTGGTCTTTCCTAAACAATACTCTAATAAAACAAACAAAAATTTTAACACATTAACTTATGTTGGACAACCAAGTGAAATAATCGCTAAAAAACTTTCAAGGTCAAATCGGAATATTGCTTTTAAATGTAATAGGACATTAGGATCTGTAATTAAAAATAATAAAACAAAAATACATAAGTTATGTAAGTCGGGAGTATACAAATTAACATGTGGATCTTGTCCAAAAATATACATAGGTCAGACAGGCAGAAGTTTCAAGAAACGGATTCAAGAACACAAGTTCATTCTTGAATTCTAAAAATGACTCTAATTATAGTAATCATTTAATAGAAACAGGACATTCCTTCAATAACGATGTTAAAATATTACATAGTCAAGGCAAAAGCAAAAAACTTAACTTATTAGAAACAATAGAAATTAATAAACTGAAATATACAAACTTGCTACTAAACGATCAAACCGACTTAAATAATTCTTCCCCCTTAAACTCTTAGGTAAAGATTCTACCTACTGTATGGATAGTCTGTAATCAACCTTGTGATAGTTTAGAGATTCTTCCTGAAGAAGGTACAGTGTACCGAAACAATTGTCAAAGCAATAAATATGTGTTTGGAAATCTTAAAGCAAGTGTTGGTTTTTATTAAATTACGTATGTAATGGATTATCATCAAGTAACAGTCAACTCAATCAAACAATAATGGCACCAAAACAGTCCCCTGTGGCACCCCATGATCCACCAAGATAGACTCAGACACAGATGTCTCATACTTTACTTTTTGTATTCTGCCAGATAAATAAAATTTTAGCCAATACAGGGCTAAGTGCTTTATACCCATATTGTCTAGCTTAGCTATTAAAATATCCCATAGTATTTCAAATCGGTTTGTAAATAAATAGGAATAAACACTTTACATAAATGGAAGCAGATCGCATATTCTTCAATCTTCGAAATCGTAATATTTTTCGAGTTATAACATGTCATTTTTTTTTTAATTTTATTTTGAAGGCAGTGGCCTTAATTCTTAACGGAATAAGCTGGTGTTTAACACACAGCCCTGATTTAGTAAGAGTCACCGTTACAAAATAAAATCTGTCACTAGAGGGCACTTCATCTAGAACATTTTTTTATTTTCTCCATATTTAATTGCAAAATAGAAGAGATTGCCTTAAGCAGAATCACGAATCCTTAAAAATTGTTTCTCTTGTTTTAAGTAGATAACTGTTATCGTTTATCCACAAATCGACTTTTTTATTCTCGGGCCGAATACCCTGAACTTCTAATTTACAGAAAGGTAATAGTCGATATCGCGATATGCATTTCTGTTAAGGAATGGCTAGCGGAAATGTATGCCGCCATTATTAACCTTCAGGCGACGCGCACAAAAATTTTGCAAAACAGTATGCTACAAATTAAACAAGGGAAAAAAATGGCCTAAGTCAATGCAATAACATGTTTAATTTAAGTAATATAAATACATTTAACATTAAACCATCAAATTCTGCTTGCAATTGTTCATTATGTTGGTCTTAGCGAGCAAGCGGTATTACTTTCTAGAGAGTCTGCATTGAAAATAAAATTTTCACGGAGGTGACTGTTGTCACTGGCGTTCCGCAGGGATCAATACTGAGCCCGTTGTTGTACGCAATATATGCGTCAAATCTGGCTACGGCCCTTGAAAACTGCCGAGCACAATACTATGCAGACGATACGCAAGTATACTTTTGACTGAAACACTCACTATTCTTAAATGCTAAGAAATGTTGTATTATGCTTGGAGGCTCAAATTACAATCAACATTGGGGACACAACTCAACCTATAAAAAATAACATAAAAAACATGGGAGTCTTCTTCGATTCTTAAGGGTTAAACTGCTCTATGGTGGTCGTCACTATCTCTCAAGAAAAATAAAAATTATATTGTGCGAGGCTCTTGTGCTTTCTGGGTTCAATCACTGTGCTATTTTATATGGAAACTGTTTAACAGGTTTGCAAAAACAAAGAATACAGAAAGTGCAGAATTCATGTTTGCGACTAATATACGGTATTAGACGCCGAGAAAGAATATCACATAAACTAGTAGAGACTAAATGGTTGAACATGGAGAACAGAAGAAAACTACATGAAGCCTGTTTTTAACACAAAGTCCTCAATATATGTACAAAAGTCCTCAATATATGTACGGAAGGATTATGTTCAGATTTCATGTTCATAATTTCAACATTAGATTTAGAGGTGCCATAACTCCTCCTCTACATAAAACAACACTATTTGAGCATGATCCTTCCTTTAATATAGCTAAATTGTATAATAGTCTTCCTAATAACTTCAAAGCCGTGACTCCAAGTAGATTTAAATTTTATGCTTTCAGATATTTTTTCGAAAAGCAAAGTTTAAAAAAAAGCACAGTCTACCTTTAACAAACGTGAGCAAGATAACATACATTAATAAGTGTGAGAAGAAGTAGAAATTTTTTTTTCTGTTATTGTGCTATCGCTGTCGCCATAAAAAACGAGTTATTGTTCCTCAATCCGTTGGGTTAAATAGATCAGGGTGGCTAACATACTGATGTTATACATGTCTGGATTTCGCCCATTTCTGTGTATGTATATATATACATTCATTTCGTAAAAGAAATCGGTTATTTGTAGAAAGTGTGGATATACAGAAATAACGACATATTATTATTATTATTATTATCATTATTATTTTCCAAAACAAAAAATTATTAATAATCGGGAATTAAACAAGCGCTAATTACAGTTCATTTTCAAAATGCCCACCGTTAGTTTCTAAACATTTTCTTATATATTTTAAAAAATGCTGCCGAACAAGAAAAAATACGCTTATTACATATTGCTTATTACTAATGATTTCGGAACCGTGCATTATTTTTTGTTTTACATCATTGATATCTGTTTCGGCCCTACCCATGTTCATCCTGTTCACCGTCGATGTTCAAATGCCTCATTTAAATACCTTCGTACAGCCAATGCAAAATGGAGCGCCATCTTGCATTTCTAGTAAAGATGGTAGTTTCTCTTGGAGAAATTGCAAATACATTTCCCGATTCAGCGATTCTTCAATTTTTGCATGAACACGAAAGACCGCAGATCATTTTTATGCAAAACTTCCCAAACTGCAGAGCAAGCAATTCTTTCCGGGGAGGCAAGTTTCCTAGTACTCGTTGACACATTTTGAAGTGTGCAGCTGTGTTTTAAACCTTGATCTAGCCTTATTCATATTATCAGGTTTGAATGATCCTCTCTCACCAAGTCTGCTGTGTAAGTTGATGAATGTGTTAGCACATGGAACGTTTCTATTGGAATGAGCCTCGATATAATGCAGTCGTGCTTGATATGCATTTCCATTTGCTCTTCCGTAGCAAAAATGCATATCGCGCTATTCAGTGTTTGAATATTCCTGATGGGCCATCACAATAGCAATTGGATAATAAGCTCTTTTAATAAAAACTAATTTTTAATGGATTGTCACAATGACTTTTTCAAATTTCATTAAGTCCTGTTAGGTAAAATCACATTTACTGGTAAAATTCGAACCGAGAATAAAAAGATCGATTTGTGGTTAAACGATAACACCTATCGACTTTCTGCTTCAGGTGTATTTTGCAATATCAGTCTAAATAAATAAAATACAGGGAAAATTAAAAAAATGCTCTAGATAAAGTGTCCTCTGGAGACAGATTTTTGTAACACTTTTATTATGTAACCATGACTTTTACTAAAACAGGGCTGCGTGTAAAATATCAGCTTATTCCGTTGAGATTTAAATGCACTGCGTTAAGAATAAAATTTTAAAAAATGAATTTTGAATGAATGAAATTTCGAATTTTTGTTACATGACTTACTACTATTATTTTAGCAAGTTGAATCTTTCTTCCAAGTTTCCGAAGTTAATTTTCGAACGCCCTGTATAAAGAAAAGATAACATTAATTTAATTCAAACACTAACCAAAGTTCGGGAAGGTGATTATTACGATTATTGAATTTTCATTAGAAATTCGTCTCGTGGTCCGTATTCTCCACAAAAAATCATACAAATATACACATTGGGAGAAGGTGGAGGAAAATTAAGGTTTTTCCTGATAAAGTAAAATTATACTGAAAGATGAATTAAATCCTACTCAAAAGTTATATAAAAACAGTTATCCTTTCATGCATAAATAGTTTTCCAGAAAATATCTCTTTTCTCAAACCATGCAGTACACTGTAATAGTGAATCACGTCATCGCGTCTAGACTGAGTGCAAGATATTGCGATTTTCAAATGGATTTTTCCAAATATCTCGAGCAGCGTACGTGACAGACGAAAATCGTAAATACAAAAATTGTAGCCCTTGATACGGCCTATAACATTGAATGAACGGATTAGCTATTCTTTTTACGAATTTTGATTTACTGTTAATAATTTACTCCCTACAAGAACAATTTTCAGGGTCTAAAACTAAACTAAACTAAAACACCTTGTATATAATCGAAAAAATGCGTAAAACAAAAGCTATAATAGCGCCGGATCTCCCACGTATTACGGTTTTCAAATTTCTCGGATCGGAAGAATGATTTTGGAGGAAAGGATGTTTTTCTGGAAGCCAAAATAACCAAAAAAAATTCAAAAATAAAAAAAAAAAGTTGGTGTTATTTTATCGCTCCCAATTTAAAGAGTCTAAATGCTGATCCGGACCTCTACTTCCCCCAAGTCTGAAGTCGGTAGCTGTAAATTTGGTGCACAAAAGTTCTAGCTGTCTATATGGGCTATAACGCCATGTAAAAGAAACTGACATCTAAACCACAGATTTGAAATTATTGATAATTTTCAATAATAGGGTGACCCATTTTTCAGTTTATTCTTGAACAATTGTCAAGAATAAAAGTTATGGAGCTGTATCCGCTGCGTCTTCTGGCTCAAGAATTTTTTTGGTCTTGTAAACAGTTTTTGAAAAACGGTCTTTTTTGTAGGCTCTTGCACACGCGATTTTTAATTTTTAAAAAATACTTCCCCCACCTTCCCCTCCTTTTTAAATAGGTTCCGTTCTCTGAATAAAACTGCATATGTGTGACAAATATGAAGTCGATTGCTTCAAATTTCAGTGTTTCAGAGCAATGTTCAAAAAAGTCGAAAATCGCGAAAAAAAGATGGATGCCGAAGTCGGATCGAGGCCATTTCTTACAAACTTATGTATCTCTTAGAGGCTTAAAAAGGAGGAAAATTGCAACTTTGTAGCTCCAACGGTTCGAAAGTTATTCAGGAAAAACCAAAAGACGACAACGGAGAACGGACAGATAAAAAAAAAAATTTCCGACGCTGATTATTTCTGTACCAATGGCGATCCCATAGGTCCTACTATTACCGAGATATAAATTTTTTATACGAGCGTTGATACAGATAAGTAAAAAAAAATTTTGGAATTCCAAATTTTTATTTATTTATTTCTAAAAGAAAGGTTAGCAATTGTAGAGCAACACGAATTAAAACCAATAAGAAATAATTTCAAAATTCGGTAGAGGTGCCCAAAAAAATCTCAGTAAAATGTAATAGAAATTCTGTTCTTGAAGGATCGTGAATTAATTACTAAATAAGTGAATACTACTATCAACTTTGAAAATATTCTACTATCTCATGCAACGTGTAAGAGAGTTAGAAAAATAATTATTTTTGAAAAAGGCTATAGTTCACAGAAAATTATCAAAAATATAAAATTCAAATTCTCATTATAACTTCGTCTATCGAAGCGAAAATTAAGAGTGTTAATGAATTTTATTTGGACAGGCTCGTAATTATGGTATATAGGACTCCAAACTGTTGACGAATACTGCAGAACACTTCTTATCATACTGCATTATAATGTAATGGGTTCTTCACTGGGTCTCAGAATAAATCCAAAACTACGGAATGTTTACCCAATGAGAGTTGGGATATATGGGACTCGTAAATTTTAGAGTCCAGAATGACCCCCAAATCTTTAACACGTATTAATTGTATATTATTTGATTTTAGATTCATATTTGGATTTCTCGAGAGTTTCAGTTTAGAAAAGATTATGTAGTCACATTCACCAACATTTAAGTGGAGTGGATTCAGAACCTAATATTCAGAAAAATTTGGGTGTCCAGAAAACAAGTTCCTAGGTCATATACAAATAAAAGAAAGAGCAGGAAACACAAGTGTAAACTCTGCTGAGCCCCATAAGTCACATCCAAGCAAGTCGATTTTTTTCCATTAACCCATCTTGTCAATAATTTTTTAAAGGTCTACAAGACATTTAAAAAAATGGGTGATGGACTTTGGAAAAGGCTTTGAAAAAGTCGGTATAAGCAAGGCAGCTTTACTGGACGAAGGGGGCAAGTTTCGTCAGGAACTATGGTGGTTGCACATGGCGAAGGAAAAATAATAGCTCTAACAAAACAGACTCAAAAACTTTTCCGAAATGACATATTAGATAAATTGGAAGGAAGGTTAATCAAAATATTGCAAGTCAGTTATTGCTATGTGTCTGAATTGTGACTTTTTTTTTTCGTGTAATATTATAATTAATATTAATATTATAATTAAAAATCTGGGTCGTCATTTTGTATAGTTGGAAAATTTAAGTAGTCAGTGAGAAGCGGATTGATATCTTTTTTCATATGGTCCATCGTCAGATGTCAAAGGAACACACATACACACGTTAATCTAAGCACTCGTTTTTGTAAATTGGCCGTAACTAAAATTTTATAATGAAGCTCATTACACTCAACAATTTAACGATTATAATAATGACCGGTAGAGACTGCAAAGTATATAAGGGGAATATATATAGGAACGTCATCCAAAGATGATTCTTTCGCCTTTTATTGTTGGCTTGTCGGCGTTGGCCTTTATCGCTGGTGAGATTTAATTTATTGACAATTTAAGATAGTCACATGCACAATTAATATCATCTGGAGCGATTTTCTGACGAAAACTTTGCGTAAGTTGTATGTAGTCCAGCGTTTAACAATAATAATATTTCGTAAAACAAAACAAGTCAATATTAGGATCGATCCCCTATTTATTTGACTGTAGGAAACTGTTTGTTATCAACAGCGTGATCGAAGATTCTGTAAAATTGACGTGTGAGTAGCTATGAATCTGTTTGACAATGATGCAAACAACATTGAGGAAGCTTAGATGTCAAAGGGCCTTAATCCTGAAAAAAATCAGTTATTTTATGTTATTTGTTTTGAAAATAACAAATTAAACCAATTTCGCAAACACGAAGAAATTAATTGTCATTTATTTGTAATCTAAGAGGTATTCAGTGTGTTTTGATATTCGAAAAAAGTTAGTCATTTCATGTCATATGCATTTCAATATGATATGATAGATGGACTATATCTCTATTATGCCTTTAGGAATAGAGAATGACAATTTTAAAATTACTGTAGAATGGCTAAATATTTAATTTAACAACTATTTGCTTTTTATTAAAGTTATTTGGTTTATACTTAAAATAGTTAAATAATTTGACTTTTATTACATTTGAATCGGGTTGTATGTTACTTCGCATGTAGTTTTTATTCTTAAACTTTCCAATTAAGCGGGAGTAAACCAAGTAAATTTATCACGGATATCTCAAGTAGTCTACTATGCCTTTTGTTTTTAATTTTGCGAAATTTTCTTAATAGAATAGACATAGAATATCGCAATGAACTTGTAATTACCACATTAAATTAGATGTGTACATATATTTAAGGAAATGCAGGCGAATCTGGTCCATATGTCCATCTGCAACATGCTCGATCCAAGCTGTATCTATCAAAAGGTGCCACGAGATTTGTCAAGTCTAAGGATGATGCCGGAACGTACGCTTATACCATGCAGTCTCTCTATACCTTTGACGTTGGGTATGTATGTAAACTAAAGTATGAATTTTAGTCTCAAGTATGGAGTGCCCGAATAAGGACAAGGAGATATTTGAAAAAAATACATTAAAAAAAGGGGCTCAGCAAGCCAGTGAGAAATGCATCTCAATATATTCAACCTCTCCTAGGATAGGAATTAAAAAAATTAAAACTAAAAAAACTTTAATTTTGGTAAGCATTTTCACTTTACGAGCAGTTAATTCAGTTATATATTCAGCAACATAAAAATTTCATATTAATTCTTTGAACTTATTTGTATACAGAAAGTGGGTAGATATAAAAGGAGGATGCAGAGGAAATATTGCGAGACTCACACTGTTACCAAAAGGCATTGATTCTGAAAAAGTATTCCAATATAAAGATGACATATTTCTCGAAATCAAATGCACATCAGGAAAGAAGGTGCTTGCTCCGGATCCCAAAACAAAAGAAGCCGTTCTAGTAGTCAAGGATCCTAAGAACCTAGACTATTACAAAATAAATTTAGTTCCAATTTAAACTTGGCATGAAATATATATTACAATTTCTGTTGGTGTTTCTAGTTATTTAATCCTGATTCTATCCTTTGTTCATTCTCTCCTGTTTCGGTTCTTAATTAGCAGAAATATTAGTCGGTATTGACGAGTAGCACTACGCTTGATCAATGACTTCAAGATAAAACGCTTTGGAGTTTGGGAAAAAGTTCAGTCTGTTTTATTTTACCCTGAAATATCTTTTTGATTGTTGTCGTTATGTAAAAACGGTTCTGGAAAATTTTGTTGGAACAAAACTTAGTTGCATTTTCACGAGAACCCACTATTTTTAAATTTAATATCAACAGTCAGAATTTCACACATATAAATAAAATGGAATTTATCAAAGAGATTATTGACTCACCAATTTTTAAACGAAAACTCTCAACTCTAAGGAAGATTAGCCTATCAATTAATAACTTTACATTATACAATATATTCAAATCGGCTTCAAAATACATTATTAAATCGGCTCTACCCAATTCTAAAGACAAATATCTGCACTTGATAAATCAGTTCATTATTCTATAACCTCTAAGCGTAAAATTCTTACTCTCACTGCTGCCTTTGGGCATACTTAAGGTAGCCTCACCTGCGCAGCACCTGGATCCACCGCTTTGAGCTTAGTGGGTCCCCACCTCATGTATAGTAGGTATAGGGGCCTCAATGTACAAAAACCCAGCTCTGGTCAAATACATGCAAGTAGTCGAAGTTAGTAGTGGAAGTTGGAAAAAAGGACAAACCCACCGTCGCGTTGTTTTAACCGCGGTGACCAATGAAGGCCAACTCGAGAAAAACAAGAAAATTAGTATAACAAGATTTAATAACAAAATTTTGACGAAACCACTGGAAATTGCCATCTCCCAGGCAAAGCACTGTATACTTGTTTTCCCTGGGGTGTTACCCTAAATTCTCCTGGTAACTGCGGCTGTTGACCTGGCAAACCTTGTCACTCGACTAGGTGATGACTGATTATAATGTGTCAGTTTTCATCACAATGTGCGAGGAGACTTTGGATTAACAGTATAAAAAAACTCCGCACTAATTCTTGCTTACAAATTGCAATCTTAAATAGTTAACAAGATTTACAATTTTGAATTATCAACAGAAAACTGGTTTGATGAAATTCATTAAGTTATTATATCAGAGAATATTATGATTTACCCAATATTTGAATCTGGTGAAAGATATAGAAAAGTAATATCAATGAACAAACGGGAAGAAGAAATAATAATAATAATAATGATGTTACAGGTAAGAACAGCACAAGATCAAATTCCGAAGGTCAAAAACAATTGCTACTTTTACAGGGCATTAATTACCCCAAGGTGACGTAATATAGACAAATAATCTCCGTACTCGCAATGTAAAAAAAAGGACGGCAGCTAAGGCAACTTATAAACAACTGCACCAGAGCAAAGAGATATTTGTGCCCGCAATATTAGAAGCAAAAAGATACGCGCCGGTATTTTAAAAGTAGTCACTTAAGAATTAATATTAAATAAAGACAAAAAAATAACCAGTTGCCTGCAGGTACCCTCGCTGAAGATCCTGACAAGAAACGTCGAACTTGCCTGCTTTTCGTTTAACCGAGGCGGTCGATAACTGTTCTAGCAACGCGCCCAGAAATTCGTCTAGCAACTGTAAGATATGGCTATTTGTTGGCTATACGCTACAACAGGACGGGCAGTGTCATGTCAAATCAAAGAAATATATGCGACAGCAGAAACCCCCGTAATATACCAAACCAATTAAATTTTAACTGTAATCAAATGGCTACCTAAGAATTGCAGCCCAAAAGGGATTATATATTCCAATTATGCAAACTACTAAACAGTCCATAGTTTACAACAAAAACGAAACATAGATATTAAATAAGATATTAATCTTGCCACCTTGCATAAAATGCCATGCAGCTGTTTAACTGGTTAACTGATTTCGATTTTCCGATTAAGGAATTGTACGAATGCCATGATGAATCGAAAATTTTATAATTGACTAACGTTGTAGAGAAATTTATTTCGTTACAAACCTGATGAACCAAATAGCTATTAGGTAATATAGAGGCTGAAAGACGGAATAAATTGATTCTAGCCGGCATTTTGCGTTATTGTCTTTCTAAAATGCGGTTTCTGCACACTTAACTGGTCCCACTTAAGCAAGTCTGGGCTCATATTGGGAAAATACAAATCTGAACCGATAAAATTGAGACAGTCTTAGATTTTTTTCTTCTGGAGTAAGCGTCTACAGCAGGATACTATAGACAACGGCAGAGTTATTTGATTTTTGTTGATATAACCCGTCTATACCCATTCCTGTGTGTTTTTTTAAAATTATTCTTCAAAATTGTGTGTGACGAGTTTTTAGCTTGGAAGGCCCTGGGGAATAAGTATGACTAAAGTAAATTATGCTTGTGTTACAACAAGGCAATACGCACATGGTGAAGAAAAAAAAATTGAGAAAGTGTAACAGAAGTGATTTCAAAGGTTGCATTTGTAGTAATGTATAAGTACCTAAATATATAACACTGAAGGCAGTGCCAATATTCATGGAAATTATAGTTTTGGTTAGTAGACCGTAAAAACTCTTGCTATAGGTAATGTTCTTGTTAACGGACATATATTCAATGTTTTTTAGGATCTATCAGTGTAAGATTTCTTGGAACTCATGTACGGCATACTGATGAAGCAAAGGCCAAGAGATCGTCAAAAGGTGAACAATTGCCAATCCTTTAAAAATTAATTGTAGGAGTTTGGAACCAATGGTTAATGGGACATTCACGAAAAAATCCAAAATAATCAATTGGAGAGAAAATCTTGTAAGCCGCTGGTCGTTCGCATACTTGTGTTTTTTGATATTGGGTGACCACTCACAGTATTGCAGCATCAGAAGCAGTCGAAGAAAACAATCATGTTTTGTTTTAACTTTTTCGTAACATTGTAAGATTCACGAAAAAATCAATTGGAGAGAAAAAAAATTATAATCGAAACGAAAATTCCAAAAAAATAAACCAAAAATTAAAGAGCATATTAAACATATTAATATTATTATCACGTTTTTTTTTATATTTATACATATAATATATTATGTACTTACGATCGCTATTCATCAAGCATTACCAGCATAAAGGATCCGAATTTTTCCGAAAGTACCTAAATAAAATACTATGACAAATTAAATATAGTAAGAAGACGTTTGCACTGACAGAACGGTGTGAAAATCTTTCAAGACTGAATAAATTTATATTTTCTCAACGTTTCTAAATTGCGTGTTTAATATAATTCGACTACCTTTTCGTTTGCAAAATCAATAATCAAAAATTGCATAAAATATGTTTCTAAGCGCAATTGTATAAGGTTGTTGCTAGTTGAGAAACTTTTACGTTCAAATTTTTATTTACTTTCTCAACGCGATTTTAGGGTAAAAATGTAGTACGTCAATGTACTTATATGCTCAAACTACTATGTCGATATATACGTTTTACACATTTTTTATGATATGATGAGGTTTATCTCCAACATGCTGAATGGCAAGTTTACATAGGCAAATCCACCTTGGACTTAGACAAGTCTTAAGATTAGATGTAATGATTAAAAATAAAAATGCAGAATATTAGATCAAACCAAGTGAAAAATATACTAGCATAAAAGACATGTTTTTGTGTCCTACTTACATGCTGGTATGCTTTTTTGCGTTCTTTAAAAATGTACGTTTGTCTTTTGGGATGTAATTATAGTAAACTAGTAGATAGTCGATACAAATAAATATGAAAATATCATTCTAATCATTATAATTGACGTGCAAACTCAGTTTATTTTTAAAACCATTATTTATTAACGTAAAATAGGACATATCTGCATTTAAAATGACATGTTGTGCTCTTAATCCTTCTTAATGGCAACAATAATCTCCATAACAGTAAAAATTATAGCTCCTCCATTTTTATCAGTAAAGTAAGGGATCCATAAAACATTTTGCTGCTAAACTATTTTTGGGTTATATTTTTTTTAGGTTTTTTATTTAATTTTTCATCTTCGCCTTTTTTTTCTAATTCAAACATCCTGAAACTAAAACGAAAAATGGAAAATTTCCGTATTAGACATGCTTACGACAACACAATCTATATTTCAAATATATTTGAAGGGTACAGTGGAAAATATCCAACCCAAATAGATGAGAGTTAAGTTAAGGTCGAACCACCTTTCATTTAAATAAATGCTATTACCATCGCACTGTTAATGATTAATTACTCTATTTCTCCATCCCTCTATAGCTTAAAAACGAATCACTTGATAATTGAATTTATACTACTTTAGAAGTCTTCAAATAGTAAATTCTTTTCGGAATTTCGTAGTCAGATTTTCAAATTTCAACAAGTTCATTTTTGGGCTTTCTAAAACCTCTATTAAAATGGTGAAACTGAATTGTGATGAATGACTCCAAGCTACTATATAAATTTATATACCTAAAAATTGTTCTTGAATAGGGGAAACGATGTTTTCCCATGATCATGGGGAAACGATGTTTTCCCATGATGATATTTTGTCTTTGCCAGCCCTATGTTTTTTCTCATTTAGTAGGCAGGGACAGAACTATTTTTCCTACACTAGGTTCAAGAAATCGAGCCCTAAGTTTGAATTGAGTGTAGCATGCGCAGTTTCAATATGAAAATGTATTGCCTCTTTATACCTCAAAAATTTAATGAATATTTAATACGTCCAAAATGGTTGTATAGGCGATTGGCTACTTCCCAAAATCAAACGGCAGGATTTAATTTGACCACAATGGCACACTGAAAGGCATTCAATTTATCAATTACAAGACCGGGTCTTTTTTTGAGTTTATGTATGTTGCATTCTTCACCTGGTTTGATCTAACATTCTGTATTTTTCTATTTAATCACCTTTTGGGATTTTTTGTTGACGTCGCTGTCTGATTATCTTTCTTCGATAGATTCGATGATATAGATAACTGTTAACTCTTGATCCTACGGATTAAAAGCATATCTTTAGAGATA